TGACGCACTATAAGCCTAAAATTGCAATTAGTATGGCATGTACTGATATCACTTGGAAGTTTGTTCCAAATCTTTGAGTCTTGGGTTAAAAAGAAACGTTCTCTGATTAGCATAGTAAATTTTGGTATAATGACATTTACCTCTCTATTACGTATTGGGTATCTGCGATTTACAGGTAGGTGAACACCGTTTTCAAGACTGCGAATTCGTCATTTTATGGTTCTTTAAAGGAAACATAGGTTCAGCTTCATTATCCGAAGCCAAACAGGGTCAAATCCAAGTTTATCACGTCGCTCCCTGTATGTCAACTTTGAGGAATATCCACATGGCTTGTTAGTGAAGTGTCTATAGACCCTCGCAAGAGCGTGCTGGTCAGATTTCCGTAGATTAGACTGTGCCATTGAACAGTATGCCATACACGACAATACATATGTTTTGTAAAGCGATATGCGAGATTCCGTGAGGTAAAAATGATGGTAGATATAACCGATGATCTTCATGGCTCTCGAAACTTGGAAATCACAGTGTTCAGAAAAGTTAAACGCAACTGAATATCGCACGCCCAAGTCGCGAATTGTCCTGCATTGCGAGATTTAGGCGCCTTGTAGTAATAAACGGCCTTGGCATTTGTACGACGAAATATTACATTTGTCCACGGCCAATGACATCGACCACAATTGGCACCAGGAGTCAAGGGCGGATAGGTCATCCTGAACGAGACGTAGGGCTCCCTGAGTAGTTGCAAGTGATTGTGAGCAGACAACTTTAATGTCGTCAGCAAAGATAAATACAACACCATTTCTTATTCTCTGGAATATATCGTTAATATAAATTCGAAAAAGAAGTGGACCAAGTACACACCCATGCATCACTCCACCAGTGATTGCCTTCGGTTTAGAGAAATGGTTGCCTATGCGCACAACCTACTATCTACCAAGTAGATATGAAGACAGCCAAGAGAACATGGGTTCTCCAATGCTAATAACATTTAGTTTGTTTAGTAACCTTCTGTGAGGCACTCTATCAAAAGCTTCTTGCAAACCTAGGCACAGGATTACGGCACTGTTTCCGTTGTCAATGGCAGTCGTTGTGTGGTTTAAAAAGTCAGTCTGGCATGTTGCGCAGGATCGAACTTGCATGAAGCCGTGTTGCGAATTGCCGATGATGTTAACTTTGTTCAAGAATATAAATAGTTTAGCTTTAACTATCATTTCCATTATTCTAGATACGATAGGTGTGATTGATGGGACGAACATCTTTAACCTCGTGGGCAGCGTCATTTTTATGTCGTGGGATAACAACAGAAGTTTTCCATCAAGTAGGGTGTACTCCGTTGTTAAAAGAGAATGTAAATAGGTTGAGCAAAAGCTGAAGGAAGTCACTATCACTGCTTTGTAACAAACATGGGTGAATCCCATCAGGTTGAGGAGTATAAGCAAGCGACTTGACCGGTGATTTTCGCTATAGTGAATTTCACTGGGTATAGACCTTCATTATTGTGCGGTATGGTAAATGTTGGCGTAGCTGATGATTCAGCGAGCATTGCTTTGGGAAACTAAGCACTAAAGGCTTCGCAGAATATCACCTGGTGCGTCGTGTAATGTTCCATCATGCGTGGTGATAAAACTGAGATTGACACTCCAAGACGAACCCCGGGCACGGAATAGTTTGGCTAGCTCAGATGTTTTGCCGGGGCCATAGAGATTTATACTCTTCTAGAATGGGAGTTTTGTCACGTTGATGCCTCTGTTCTTCCACGAACTTCGACTGTTGTAACAATAGCGCAAAGTCAGCAGTTAACTTGAATAGTTGAGGAAGGTTATGAAGCTTCCGCGCTATAGATTCTGTATTGCCTAAAAGTCGAATTATGCCAAATGAACTAAGGGGGCCTGTCCGGTAAGTTTTAAACTTTTGTGAGAAAGGAATACTTTTACCAGTCCATAGCTCCCGATAGGCAACACCCTTAGTTAGGCCACTATAAACGGAAAGTCAGACACCCATAGTTGGTGGTGCCTGTCGGAACACCCTTATTACGTGACTGTGCCAGCGCAGTTACACTGCGGCGGAATCTGCAGCTGTACTTTCCCCTTAAATAGTTCTGGGTTTTTCTCGAAACCGGACCTGAAGGATGCCTATTTACAAATGCCTCTTAGTGAGGCATTCACTAAAGTAACTACCATTACTACGCCTTTGGCCTTAGTTTACCTCCAGCTATTTTGCAGACCCTCATGCGTTCACTTGTGAAAGGATTGGAAGGCGTTGAAGTGTAACAAGCTGCTGGGATTGTACATGCCACTGATAGGGTTTCTCATGATTCCTGCTTGCTAGCACAATTGAAACGATTCAGGGACACTAACGTAAATGTGCATCCCAAACAGTGGGCAACCGGCGTTAAAGAAACTATTTGTCTGGGCTATCACGATCCATTTTCTGGATTTAGCTCTGATGCCGATCGTTTTAAAGCTCTGGTTGATGTGAAATCACCAACAAACCTTAATGCAAAAAGTTCCTTGATGGGAACCTTAGACTAAAACTCAAAGTTCGTACGAAATTTAGCTTCTATTGTTGGTCTGTTCTGTTTAAGGAACTGTAAAATTTTTGAATTCTACAGAGCATGAAGCAGTGCCACGCAACTTGTTAAGCTTACTCCAGCCTGACCACGTGTTTCGACCTCTCTTGCCAGAAGTTTGTCTTGTACTTATTGCCGCTGTTGCTCCAAGCGGTATCGGTGCTGTGCTAGAACAAGAAAAACGCCCACTTCTTTGCATTTCCCGAAGAATCAGCAAGTTTACAATGGAATAAATACAGCCGTACTGTGAAGCCTTAGCTGTGTATTGGGCTGCGAACTGACTAAACAAAAACTTGTTCAATTTTAAGGCTCACCCTAATAACTGAACATGACGCCTATGATTATATCCAAAATCCATCTAGCTGGTTTACAAAATCCTCTGTAGCCACGGTTCAAAGCTGCAGCAAAGCACTCTGCGTATAAATAAAAGATAGAACACAGAAGTCCTAAAAACCTTCCTCATACGGATTAGCTGTCTCAACATTATTTTTTGTATGAACCATATGAGGACTTTGATTGCCTACTTGCTCAGCCGCTTCCTATGTCTCTTGCAGCTCTAATTAATGCAACAAGCAAGCGCTTTAGCTTAATACTATCAGCTTTAAAACGAGGTTGTTCAACACCGCTGAATCGGAACCATGCCCAGTTATATCAACACTGTGATGAAGTATGTGTAACTCCAGATGGCGCAGTATGTGTCAATGATCGTATTGAGACTCCTCCACTTTTGCGAGCTGCGGTGCTGACTGCTCTTCATTCTAGACATTTTGGCATTAAAAAGCTGATGGCTATCGTCCGGTGTCTATGTTAATGGCCTGAGATAGATGCAGCTATTCGACAGACTGCCTCAGGATGCGTAGGCTGCCGACACAAGGTTAGAAGTCAGCCGTTGAAAGGACGCCCCGGCCAATGGCTTGTACAGTCTGGCAGCGCTTTCACATTGATTACTGTGGTCCATACCTTCGGAAGTAGTATGCACTTGTCATCATTGCCTATTATCTGAAGCGGCCTGGAGTATTCATGCCGGATAAACTTAATGCTAAAGTTAATATTCGTGCCTTAAAAAAATGTTTAGCCGTGAATCTGTGCTTTTGGGCATTGTGAGTGATAATGGCTACAGTTCCATGCGTCGTGTGTTACTGATTGAAGTAGAGCCAGGGTTTTCATCATCTGATTATTGCCCCAGAATCCTTGCTTCAACGGATTGGCCGAAAACTTTGTTGGTACTATGAAACGTGCAAGTACTTCACGTGCACGGACCACATTTGCTTAACACTATCGATTCGTTGATAAACGCTTACTTCAGTATCATAGTTGTGCTCATTTTACCATTGGCGAGACACCCACTAAAACATGCAACCTAGGACCACTTCTTTCAAACATGGGAGGTTTATGCACTGCTGTGGTATCCTATTCCAGGAGTAATGGTTTCCGACTCCGTTCTGGAATTGCTGTATGTTCGGAAAACATATGGCGCGGATATTGGACATGGATAATTCATCTTTGCACAATCGTCATGTAAAGCAGATACCGTTCATAGACAAAGGTCAGACGGCAGATCATGCCAATGCGTATGAGACCGATACTAATGTAGTTTTTCCAGATTCCATTCCAGATACTGAAGAACAACGTCGACTATGAATATCACAAAGCCTTCAACATAAGCCACTGAAGAATTGCAAAAATCCTGAGTTACATTCGATCTGCGGTGGCCGTGCTGGTTATGAATATTGTACTAATCTACATTACTTCCGTTGTATTACCTAATACTGGATAATATTGACCGCTTAATTCGAACTTACTATCCCATTGTTCACTCTCCATATTGAAGATATCTTAGGGTGGAGCTTAACGTTCTCCGAGCTTTAATAAGTACAACCCAGCCCGCACAACTGCTATTATCCTTTGCTATCAAATACCTTACTTTACTATTTTTCCATGTATTGCAATTCTATCTTTTGTCTCCTTATGTAAATGGCGCAACAGGGAATAATATTGCAGGGAACGAAAGCCGTGCTTGTCTTATCAGGGTGCGTTGTGTGGACACTTTTAGTATCCGTAAGAACTCGCAGCTCCTTACCAACACGAAACCCACCGATGCGCTCAAGAAGAAACGCTTCCAAGCTTCTCATGCGTTTCCGGTCAAACAAGCACTTGACGCCCCATTAAAATTTTAGTGGCCTAAATTTGTTACCGACCGCCCCAACGCGCAATCGCAGTGTTAAGTTCATTTTTGCATGTTCACGCATGTTAACTGAGTGCATTATACCGAACCATTAAAAACGATTTTAAAGGTCGGCTGCTTACTTAAACAATATTGTAGAAAGCACAAAGAATAATGTGATATAACCGTGCGCATATGGTTAACGTTTGTACCGTTTTAAAATTATTATGCTTTCTTAAAGCAATGGTTTTAATCGGCTATTGGTTATCGCGCGATATTCTCTCTGTTTGACTTGGCGTCGTTCTGGTTCGGAAGTTTTGTTTCACGGGTTTCTGCTCTTGTTGCCTGATGAGTTCCAACTTTTACTATGGTGGAGTTGGGTCACAAAGCAGCAACGTGCTAATATACCCAATGAAAGCATTGAATCTCGGTCCTTCGATTTCATCTGTAAGTGCATCATTTCCATACTAAATTTCAGTCGTTCGAAGCTAATCAGGTTCTGAGCCCAGGGGCGCTGGGTCAGCCTCTAGCATTCAACCGGCCGACGGTCAATGCTGCTGAGTTTTCTATGCCTCACACACAAAGGGTGCAAAACTCTCGTGGCGGGGTTTTCCATGAACTTGCTGGCTCATCGTTAGGAAATGTAACTTCGTGTCCTTCGCGGTCCGCTGTTCTGTCGAATATCGGGATCACAAGCCCAAACAACTTGATGAGTAATCCGAATGGTATGTTTAAGATGGGTGACCGACTTGGAACACCAGTAAGATCACCTGACTCTGATGACGTCTTTGCGACGTTCCGCCTTCCCGTGAGTTATAACTCGTTTGTTTGCTTCCTGCATTTATCAGTTTCAATACACTGGGCTAAGCAATTACTGTTTCTCATGTTTTGGGGTCAGCGCGAAATGGGTTCCAAGTCCAAATTTAATTCGTCCCATGTACTGCGTTTTCCACCAAGCTGCGCTCCGATCGGGTTAGAACACAAACCCATCTCACACGCCGTTTTTGAAGGCTGGAGCTCACTTCCAAAAGGTTTGGTTGGCACATCTACAATAAAATGTGTGGCCAGCTAGGTGATCTGGGGTGACGATATCAAGTTTGCCATTTTTAGTCTGCGCTTCCTTTTAAACTTACCATTTCGCCTCTACACCAAGTTTCATCCTGTCCTTAATTTTTCTCTATTCGCACCCCTTAATCATTTTTATTTTTCGTCACCAGCACAACGGTGTTTGCCAATTTCCAACACGTTGGCAATAATTGTTTGACCAATGTGTAGATCAGGTTTTTCGTTTTAGGTTCACCAAACTTTCATAACCCTGGCTCTCCGGTTCAACGACGTACTCAGGAAGAAATACTGGACTTACCTACCGTTCCAGTCCCATTTAAATTTGACGATCAGATTTTTCCTTGTGATCTTTTAGGCCCGGTTCGCATTCGTTAATATTATATTGGAGTTTTGATCAATTATTATTCATAAGCCTGTTTATTATCGACCTATACCATAGTACCCCATTCTTTGTAACCCTTGTTTGCATTTTGCCAACGCTTATTGATGTATTGTTTTCAGTGAGAGTGCGATTGGCTTCTCGTTTCCAGTTTTTAGGCAACTGATCCTCTTGTTTGTCAGCCTTTCCGATCTATGCTCAGCCATATATGGCAGTTGCGCGGTCATAGGTTAGAGGGCATGCACAGCACAGCGGAACTTCTAGTGTCATTGTGTCGAGTAGCGCCCTTTCCAATTCAGTCTAATCCGATTTGCCGCCTTTGTCGCTCGATTTTAAGATATGAACTTTTCTCTAATCATTGTTTATTGCTCGCGTTGTTTTACTCACCCATGTTTCGTCCAACGCGCATTGTATACTTGCTTTCCAAACTTATCGACTCATGCTCATCTTTTACCACCATCAATCGTTTTGCTTCAGGTGCCCGGTCAGTCTTCTTCCAAGGTACTATCCAGCTTACAGGATACTAACCAATTGTCTTTCAACAATGCTCTCTCTGATTTGTGTTCCTCTTTTGTACTCAACCGTTTCGGAGTTAACAACGATCGTTTTTCCCCGGATGCACCGCATACTCGCTCTGATGGACCGTCTTCAGATTTTTCACAACTAAATGTCTCTTCCACCAGCCTGGATGCCCTGCTATCTGGTCCTTCGTCTTTCGCGAGCCTCCTTTCCTCACCCATCAAGCCTAGTGTTTCGTCGTCTCTCCATTTACACCCATTGACCAACTCCACTGTACCGTTGCCACCGGAAAAGCCCATGGTCGACTTGAATTCAACGTCAAAGTCTTCTATTGTGAACCGTAGTTCCTGTCCGAGATCTTCCGGTTCACACTACTATTCAGACCAACAGCTTGACGACACCCGAGATCTTCAGGCAACTGGTGCTTTGAAAGCCGCTGCATGGATCATGGTCCCTCCGGTTCCCGAAGTAACTGCTGCCCACATGCGCACTGGACGTGTTCATGAGTTGAAATCACGCGCATGCACCGACCGAGTGTTCAATTCATCCTACATGGACCATGAGTTGAAGCAAGTTAGTCGTTGGCAACAACATTCATAGTTTCGTTTTGGCAAGGTTACAACGTATTATTACCCACTTACACTTACGGACAATGCATTTCCCGGTTTCTAGTTTGAACTAATCGGTCTTTCAAGTTCATTTTGCTGCTGCTTCGACCGGTTCCACTCACTTCTCGTTGAATTAAAATACGAATTGATTATGTTCGACCGCTGATTATGGCTCACTGTTTCCTCTATTCACTCTTGGTTTACTCTAGTGCACCAACGCAACGGTCTGCCTTGTTCGGTTGGTATTTTGAATTAGATTTCAGTCACACCCAACTCTAGACCGTTACCATCTAACATACTAGCTTGTGTACATTTTTATTTTTTGTTGATTCTGCCCATCTCACTGAACGCATGTTTCGCGCTATTTCGAGGTGTCTTATTGGTGTCGTGATGTTGGACTTTCAAATCGACGTTTCATCTACAAACGAAGTTGTTACTTTCCAGTGTCCATCTAGCGGCAGCGTCGCATCTATTTTCGTACACACTTATATTTATCTACATTCTCTTCTTATGGGTCTCGTCTGCGCACTCCTGCTCGCTACTCTTCCATAACCCAGTAATTACCGCACCACCATAACTGGGGTTTTTGCACTTCTAACCAATGTGTAAAATGAATGATGTTTAGTAATGGTTAACTATCTATTTATGCACATTGTATGTACACTGTCCGCCTTCCTTCATCAACCTTGATTCATTGTGCTCACATTTCTTACTATGTCCAATCCATCTTTTCCCATCTACACTAGCTTTTACCGTGTCACTTGCTGGTTCGTCCGGTGGCTGCCGCTCGTACAACTCTTAACTATACAGCTTAAGGGTTCTAGACCGAACTGGGGTCATAGTCATAAACTTCATCTGCAAATCAACGATGACCACCGTTTTAGTTTAGCTTGAAACCCTTGTCAGTTGATCCGGAAGTCTCTAGTCTCATTTCTTGCTTGTTTGCATTACCAGTTACCATTGTCTACATAGAAAGACACGTTTCCACTGCCGGCTGGCCCAAAGCATGTATGGGTGAAACATGACAAGATGGTGGCCACCGGATGCCTCCGCACTTTCAATCTTTGGCCAGACATAAATGATGACACCAATTGTATCCCATAATTCTTGAAATTACGTTTGTCGCGTATAGATTTATGTTACTATCGGTAGATCTGACCATTATTTTCTGTTCTAAGCGTACACTACATTTCCTCGATGTTAGCACCGCCCCCATCTTTCATCATCACTTTTTCATTAAAACAGGAATTTATGCTATTTGATTGTTTTCATTGTGAACTTTTTTGATCTGATGTATTCCCTCGTCGCAGGTCCTTCACAACAAAGTCCAAGCATGCCTCTTCACAAGCGATGGTCCAGCTAAGGACGGTAAGTCCAATTAATGTTTTGTTTCATTTTCAACCACGCCTGTATTTTCTTTACGTGAATGGATCTTAACGTCTTGCGATGGTTTGTGTATCTCTTCAACCCATTGAACTATACTGGTTGGTGCCTCCGGGCCCCTATCGAGTTACTTCTACCAGGTTAGTCAATGGTTAAATGTTAGACTAACTCAGTCTCTTGGTCTTCCAGGCTGTCGGCTGGAAATGGGTGGCGTCTCTTTCTGTAAAACCGGATCACTTCTTTGTGGACAGGCTTTTTAGCAAAATGCTTGGATTAGAGACCCTAATCATCCTGTCTAGGTTTGGGCGCCCTGACCTTCAACTCATATACAGTCATATCTCTTTCATCGACCTTCATGCACATCTTACATTGGTCGTCGTGTAACTTTAAAAGTGTCGCCTTACACACTGCAAGCAGCAGGGCCGATAATGCTTATGCCTTCCTTCTTATTTTTCCACCTATTTCCCTTACTCCTCCAACTTACCTTACTAAACTCGATTTTATAATTCCCAGCTTGGTTGACACCATCATCAACGACAGTACATCGGTCATTTGAACTAATGCCTTGCTGTCGTACAACTACGGTGACCCACGAAACGAAGCATCATAAAAGGGAGGGAAAGGGGCCGGCGCAAGACATCCAGGATCAGGGTGCCTACACCTTGTGTCAATAACGTACCGTCACAGACAGCTGGCTGTCGTGCAAAGATAAGGTGACATCGGCGAGAAGGCTTCCTTGTGGCTCTTACTGTCCCGCGTCATAATCAGTCATTACACCTCGGTAAAATCAACACCAAGCACACCTAAACAGTCAGTCCGATAAAAGGACGACAGCATACGCGCCATTGGTGACAAAAGCTGCAACCCAACTGGGGTCTTACCATCTGCAATTGTTTCCGCCTATCATGCCTAGCTATCCCATTTCTCTGGCGGCGTTCAACGTTCGCAGTAAGTAGACAGGCTGCACTCACCCACGCTTCGAACATATTGAGGGCTGCCGTGTTGTGTGTCCGAAATTAATATCAACGAACCCCACGTGATTGTTTAGTCAACTACACCAGAATTTTCTCCTCGCTGTTAGTTACGCGCATCTGGAGACGCTGGTTCGGCAACCGTTGGTCAAGCTTGAACGAACATGACTGAGTCATTGGTGATGAATTGAATTCCCGCGAGCAGCCATTTGTGTGCAGCGTGTTTGACGACATCAACTAAGGTCGATTCACGAAGTGGCACTAAACGCTGTCTGTTAGTGGCTACCGCTTACACCCTTACCAACTGCAGTTCCGATACTGTCAAGGACGCTTATCATGTACTGAACACGCTGCTGCATGGTCCCATTCGTTCAGCTATCCTTATTGTTATGCGGGTTGTGCGTACGCAAGTAGGCCATCTAATAATAATAAATAATAATAATGTGTCAGCTGTACGCCGTAACGGCACTTCGCTGCCGCGCGACCACCACCAATCGCGCGCGGGCTGAGTATACCGCGAGGACGCCCACCCCTACGCGGATTCGAACCGGTGACCTTATGGTTGCAAACCAAACGCACAGACCACTCGGCCACCGGCCGACCAAGTAGGCCATCTGAGCTAGATGGTATGTATGGACTTACTTCGGAACAGTCAGATAATGGCGAGCCTCTGCTACAACTGTGCCTCGAGCATCGGCTCTCTTAGCAGCACCACTTTTAAGTACAATGAGCGTTAATCTTCTACTTGACGTCTTCTTTTAACTGTTCCGATGCACCCAAATGGATCACATTATCATATGTTCCAGGTGGTATGGTTCAATTTTTGACTGACGCTCGTTGCGGAATACGTGCGTCGACTCTGCTCATGCGTTTCCCTCGGTTTGGGACTGAGAACATATCACAGCCCTCGATCGGACAAACCTGGAAGGATGGTCCAAGGACAAAGAGCTTTAGTGGACTAGAATCTCGACCGCCATACACGACACGGGAGCTTATGCTTGCGGTACTACCAGCCGTCACCACACCAGTCCCAGGATGTCTGAGTGATCTATTAATCTTTCAGAATCTGGAAGAAAACTCCTTGTTGGCTCTAAACAAAATGTGACCAGACAGACTACTAGGTGTGGACTATGACACTGCGCGCTGACATTGAATCTTGGTGGATCCGTAGGGCTCACTAACTGAAGAAGACGTGAGCAGTAAGCAGTTATCACCAACCCCTCCAACTGATACGCACAACTGGTCCCACGAATCCAGGCACCAGTGAGACGATCAGAGTTTACACGGGTGCTCTAATTCACAATAAGTAATGCCGCCTAGCTTGTTGGGCGCACAGATGACACTCTATATATGACTGATACGCTGTCGAGTGAAACAACTCACCGTGTTACCTTCACCTCTTACCTCGAACTGCAACTCCCAACTGCCTACCGAAAGTCTCGTCTTGTTTATTGCGTTCTCCTTGTTTTCATCAGGTATGAACCAGGCCGGGAAGTTAACGACCATTCAGTCCTGTTAGTTTCTGCTCCTCAGTTTGAGTGGCGAGTTTCATGGTTGTTGCAAAACCTTATGGGCAAACTTCACATGCTTGTATCCCATGAGAACTACTAATATCAAAAGTTTGTGGAGTCATCAGATGAACCTTACTGGCACAACATTCGTCGTTCATTGAGTAACATTTCTTGAGTCAGTCTCATGGGTGTTTGATCAATTCCTCTATTTACTCTCCTTGCGTCTTCCGTATCACCAACTTTGGTTCACGGGCTCCTTTTCCTATTACGACAGGAATAGTTTATGATAACCTACAAATTCTGCAGCACTTTATAGCCATCATTTCCCTTCGCCCACTTTCAAATCAACGGATTTTTGCGATCCACTCCTGGCTTAGGTTTTCCATAAGACTCCGTGTATATTCAGGTACTTCTAGAATCTCATCATTTTCATCTTTCAAATGTTACTTTACTACTTTTCCCTAGGTTTATATAATCCTCGAGCACAATAATGTGTGTATCCGGGTTCTTATCACCTGATTTCTCTTCAACTTTTGCAGTCGAAAATATCGGAATTGACTTGTCTGCTACCTGGTCTCTGACTGACTAATATTGAGTGCGCAGATAATACTGGTCTGAAATCGGACCTAGCTTGTGTACTTCTTGATGGATAGGCAGTCCTCTGCATATTTTTCTCGTCTTCAACCTTATGGATGCTATTGCTGGTCCAAATCGACACGATACCCATTTTGGGCAATTGTGTCAGCTTTGATGACCACACCACTCAAGTCTCCTCCTTTGTCGGGAAGGTTCGCGTGTTCATTTCAGTCACTCGGTGATGGCATATCAGTCTACCATTCTGAATCAAGGTGCACATCGCTGCTTTGCTTCATTAGCTACTGGATGAACTTCACTCGTTACCACTTCGCATTGAAGCTACTTGGAAATTTGCCGTTTATTATCTTCAGTGCCTACGGATCATTGAGTGAACGTTATTAATTGGTTACTGAACATGACCTGATGCCATCTTGAGTTGTGCGACTAATTTACAACTACGCCAGTTAAACTGTCCCTCGTACACCCTTTGGCTACCCAGCTCTACCCATGTTGTTTGGTGTTTCTTCTGCGCCAATGAAATCGAAGAATAGCCGAAAGCATTGCGCGTTTGCGTTGTACTGTTAAGGTTAGCGGTTCGATTCCGCGTAGATGCGTGCGATTTCGCGATATACGTAGTCCACGCTCGACCGGTGATGGTCGCGTAGCAGAGAAGCGTCGGTAGTGTCCGGTGTACTACAGAACTTTCTTATTTACATCTTGCGACGTCGCGAAAGGTATAGCTAACTTGGTTGAAATTTAATCAAGGTAGTGTGTACTGTCCTATTGAATGGGGCCCTCAAGTTTTCGAACTCATTAGCTGTCTCTTGCTTCTATTTGTTACTTTTTTCGTCTGACTTTTTCCCTTCCTCAATTTGGTTTTTCCGTTGCCGCTTTCCACTTGCAATCATCTTGACGTATGGTAGCAGCTGGATCCACAGCTCTTCGATGCTCACGCCACTTCTGACTGATTGAATTCAGCTTGTTTATTACGTACTGTACATGTATGATAATCTTTTCTCGTTTGATTGATCATCTCTCATCGACGTTCACCCACATTTTGACGGGCTCCTTGCTTTACGTAGCACTGTCTGTTACACGGTTAGTTCCTCACCTGTAATTTTTTGGACCTTTCTCCTAAACCGCCATTACTAAATTACCATCCTATCCTCATTTTAGAGCTCCCGCGAAACCTGGGCGCGTACACCGACTTGGTACCGTTAGAGGCCATGCATCCACCTCGCGTATCAGTTACTTTTGGTGTACCGACTGTCTGCTTCAAGGCGTGGTCTCCCAGATTTAACAGACCCATGCTGTTGCGCCGGGTTGTGTTACCAACTGATCACGAGGCCGCCTTGTCCTCGGATGCATACTTGTTGGCAAAACAACTGTCCGAATCGGATCATTCAGCACTTGTCGGGTTCCGCGATATCTTCTTCACTAACGCCTTCAATGATAATTGTAGGTACCAAATTCGTCTCATGCTTTCAGTTGACAGCTGCTATTTCTCTCTGCTCATCTTTCTTTGTGTGCACTGATTCTCATCACAGTCTTGTCTCAGTTGAAACAGGCAGACTCATTTCCTAAGCTTCATGCTTAACCAATGGCTTCCGTTTTGAGAAAGCGAAACAATTCACTTTGTGTTGTTATTATTATGTCTTGTGCACTACTTCCTGTTTGTGCTTCACAACCGTGCTCATTATCTTTCGATTTCTCTCAATCGTTAGGCTCTCCATTAATAGCCCCAAAATGGAATTGCTCACTTGGCCTCTTGGTTGGCTTTGGCTAAGGTCTATTGTATGTTACTCCAATTATCAACTTCACTCTTTCCATCTGACTAGATGGATGCCTATCTGAACTCAACCGTAGCATAGTTGGTAACGTCCGAAGGAACGATGTGTGAAGCAGTTGGCGGTCCGCATCGTTGTCCGACCTTCATTTGTCGCTTCTGATTGCTCTGGCTTGCCACTTAGACCAGTATAGCTTACAGATTGCTCACGCCGGCCCATAGCCTTAAGAATCACAAGCCTGCATTGTAATCTGAAGGTGCGGGTTTGAACCTGCGTAGGGAGGGACCGGGCAACCCTCGCAGTGTCTCACGTGCGACCGGTGGTGGTTGCGCGACAGCGAAGCGTCGGTACTGCATACTTCTGATGTTTTTTTACCGATTACTCACGTTGAATACGTGTTAATGGAAGTATCTATTGTATGTTCTTCGGTTACTTTTCAGCTGCAGTGGTGGTGTATGAATACACACCCTGTTCGTGCACGGTGCAGCAGACGCATATGAGTGATCCAATGAAGTTGACCAGCTTTAGTTCACCATTTAATGTCACTCGAGCTGTGCGCCCACATAGTTCGCTTAAAAGTGAGTTCTGTTATCCTTCCTAACATTTCATCATCCAACCTTTGTGGTGTTTTTGGTGTATTTTCTCCTCGGTTTATTCTGGTTGTGGGACAATCTACCTATGCAAACCTCAACTCATCGCACGTATCCGATCGGTTCATCCACTATCACCCCAGAAACTAGCGAAACATACCTTTTCTGCACCTTGTGCTTCATATCGCACTCATTCCCTACCGGTCTCCTTTATCCACATGGTTCCTGCTCTTCTTGGCATCTGAACTCAACACAACACTAATCAGGCGCAGTGCAAACGTGGCTTGGTATCTCCGTGCCACATCGATCCGTTGTTACCCGAACGAACATCCGCTCCTCACTTTTAATCACCACCTTGAGCCTGATGGAACAATAATCGGGGGACCATCCATTGTCCACTCGTCACTGTAGGCTTGTTTAGCTAGCCTTTCATGTACAGCAAACCGCTTCAGCTGTCCACACATTGTAATACTCTTCTTTCTACGTATTATAAACATGCCTACACACAATCGACGCTTTGTGAGCGAGCAGGAGCACTTCCCTAGGATCAGTAAGCTGAAGTAGAGTGCCGCAGTATCGGTTTTATCATATGCGTGCACGAATTGACTCCTTCGTGGAAATAATGTTCAGAGGCTATCTGCTGTTGATCACAGACGACATGGGAGCATTACTGTTGTGCGATGGCGATACCGCCTTGGTTAGAGTGGCATTCGTCGACGAGCCTTTAAGTCTGCTGCACGCTACCGATTTCACACTTTCACTGCATCGGCTTCGGGGGGGGGGGGGTTAAAGCCGTGCGTCATATTCTTCCTCAGTGGTTACCGCGTCACGTCTGTGTTTGCGGACCTTAGCTGAATGTGACAGCAACATGACCAACTGGTAACCCCGACTCAGCTTGTTTTGCCACTATCGCTAGATTTGCTTGTTGACACCCGAGTTCGAAACCTATTGGCCACATTCACTGATGGACAAGTTGAGACCCCACTCCTCTGATTTCATCGATTTTTCGTTCGTCCTGTTGTTTTTACATCTTGGCAATTCCGTCTGTTGTATTGTTCCAAGGTTCGCTTCACTTTCTCATCCTCCGTGCACTATAGACGAGTATGTTTATCATCCCTTCAACCCCAAATGCGCCAATTTAGCCGAAAATCATTAATCGGAGTGGCGCTAGTATTCCCCACGGCTGAATTTACCTATTTGGTCAACATTCCTGTTGTACAGAATGTCTGATCGCGCGGTGTCGATGTTGCTATATATATATATATATATATATATATATATATATATATATATATATATATATATATATATATATATATATATATATATATATATATATATATATATATATATATATATATATATATATATATATATAAACGGTGTGGGGATGGATTGGTGACGACAGCTGGTAGACTGTGTTGGGATCCTGAAGTTGTGTCTCAGTGAGGCAGCAGACATCAATTGCGAGCGTTTCCAAGGTGCGCGCCAATCCCGTTTGTTGTACGATCTGCAGTAGAGTGCGCACATTTAGTGTTGCTCGCTTGAACCGAGTTCCAGGTTGCGAAAGCGATGATGGAAGACCTTGTGGCTGGTAATTCCCTGTGAAGCACTGTGTGGCTGAGTTGGCGGATGTCGATGGGACGAATCCACCGATGGAGACAGAGTTGTTCACCGTCGAGGAATCAGGTAGTGAAGTGAGTGAACAGTACAAAGGGAAGATAGGTAATTGGGTGGCATGTGATTGTAAAGCTGCTGCAGTAGCAGGAACGTAGAACATCGTGAGAGCAAGAGCGTGAGTAACTTTCCATGGTTCGTCATTGAGCGAGATGCTACCCGGTTGCCTAGGCCGAATTAGGGAAGTTGTCTTAGAAGACCCCACCCCGAGCACTTGGTTAAATAGCCTATTTACAAGGCAGCGGAGCGAATTCAGGGCATCATGCCCATTGAAAGCCGGTGATCGATTTCTCGGTTCGTACGTCTTTCCTTTGGTCAGGTACCAAACAGGGGCCCAATCCTCCCCACAAATTCAGCAGCAAGATGCTGGGATACAATGTTCCACCGGAGGGAAGTAATGGGCAGTGACTTTATGTCGTAGCGGGTCACATCCGCCATGTCGCAGTGTTGTTAAACAGACATTTGTGGTTTTTTATAGGGAGGAGGCTTGCCAGGCGAAAACTCACCACGTCCTGGAACACCGCCACCGAACCATTCGCTGGAACAGGAGCACCCGAACAACCCAGCTGGCACCACGAGGAGGTTGTTCGTTAGGCCAGCCATCTGTATTAGTAGAAGCAACACCGAAACCCCACTCCTGGTACGGTCCTGGTAATCGGAATAACCTAGGTCTACTTCAAAGTAAACCGATATCTCAACAGGGATCGCGTGTCACAATTCAGTTACACAACAGGTACTCCAAACCCAGCTTCGAATTCTTAACCGCTGTGCCAAGCGTTTCTCACGGATCTCACTGGCTTAGTGATCAGGGCGTCAGCCGTTAACCACTAGGTTCCGAGTGTCACTCCTGACTTTGACTATCTCTACCTGATGCGTCCAAACAAGGAAGAAAGCGGTCTTGCAGCGTCAGTGTTGGGAGGAGCAATACCGAAATCCCCACATATCTGCCATCTTGTTCCATCGCTACTTGTTCTAATTGTCCTTTCCTTTCAATTTAAAAATCACTGCGACTAGCGATGTTCTGTTATCCGGGTTGGGGTGAGAATAACTCGTTGTCACTGTCCTCACTCGTTTTTAGAAATGCACTCGCATAAGTTCTATGACATTTCCGAACTGGTAAACTTAGCGTCCCTCTAGCTCAAGTGTTAGAGAAGAAACAAGCACTAACTGAACTGGCTGTGGCTCTTTGTAGTCTGTTTGTTCTCTATAATAACCGCTTATTGCACGTGTATGTCTATCTTACCTCTTATTATCTTTCAGGCACGCCCTCTGATATCGGTATGCTCCCAGAATCCGTATTGTGTTCCTACATCATTCAGCTGGTACATGGCTTGCGTTTCATCCATTTGCACTTGAATCGCGCATGCAACGTGTTGGACCCATCCAAAATTCTTATACAAGACGGAACACGGTAATCCTCTATTTTTAGTCCCACAGATCTCCACATTAAGTTGGCAGTTAGTACATGTGATTTAAAGCTGTTTCGTTAGGATACACTGAAACCTGTTCCTTCACGCACAGCTTATAGCATACAACCGGATCACACAAACACTAGTAAATATGATCTTCACTTTGCGCGTTTTGCACTTGCCATATGAGCTCATCAGTCCCACACTCATACGGTGACTACTTTTATCTTTTGGATTTCACTATCCTCATTTATTCTGGTATGTGTTATTCATGTTCCGGATAGTTAGGATGCTACATGTCAATTGGTTGTTTCGTACATTCCGAAGCATCGTCTGAAACCTATTCGGCGTGTGGCTACCAGGCGCATTCCCAGTTTACGGGGTATGTCGTACGAAGACCGACGCAGGAGACGGGCTGTACACTCTTTCGTATCGTCTACTTCGAGTGAATCTCACAATGTCGCATCGGATGTTGCATCTGGTAACTTCCCTATGCCGCGGCCATCCCCGCGCGTTCGCGCACTAAGCAGCACTCTTGGACACCGGTACAAGGTCGTATCGCAGGACCGAAATACGTTTACACTGTGCGATAATAAATAACACTATTCCGCGTACGTGCCCGACATATGTCGAGGAAGCAACCCACATGTATCTCTTCCTGTTCTCTAATAGTATTTATCGGGTCGCGCTGCTTCGTTTACTTCCGCTTCGAATTTCCGTGATCTGTATACTGTCTGTTGCATTAGCTACCTGTTTAGTTTCTAAACTTGTTCCTGCATTCAGTCATATTCGTATGATTTTGATTCCCCTCACAACTACTTTCCCACCAACTTGCCTTTGTCCGTGGGGAGGTTGTTGCACCGCACAGCATTGCTCAGTTGACAATTCACTTCCCATAAACCTATCTATTATTCACGCGCCTCCGGTTGTTGCGAACCGGTAACTCAACAAGTGGCTAGTTGCCCTGAGGTAACCGATAACGCGATTTGGTCGAGTACATTGCGGAATGGTTCATCATTCCCCCTCTCATCGGTTGCGTGAGTGATAACGAAATGAACCTGGTGGTCACCTTCACAGCGATCATACCTCACTGACTGGAATAACAGATGGTCGCTTATTAACTGTGCTACACTCATGATGACCGGCCAGAAGACCCCGACATCTATCACGCAAACCCCGCCCCACAACTGAGTTCTTCCACAGAAGTTAATATGAACTCACCTGTGGGGTGATTACTTTCTTGTTTGCCGCTAGCATTTAGCGTGACAATTTCTCACCTTAGAACAGGGCTTTAATGAGTTGTACACATCTCTACTTCAAGGCAACTCGGTGTAGCGATCTCACTTCGTTACACATCACTGTTCGTACTTCTGCGGATTTGAATGAATGCGCGCGGTCGAGGACACCCACTGTTTATCCAGTTGTGCATCAGGGATCCACTGGGGTCTGTTGGCTCGAATCCTTCAATACTTTCACTACCCAACTCGGGCTACTCTCTGCTTCTCATATATGAACCAGCAGCTCCAGTCACCATGTGTCCTGTTTGCAGATGATTTGAAAATCTGGAGGATCATTGAAAACCAGGACGACTGCGCTCGTCTCCAGCATGACTTAGAGCGACTGTCAACGTGGTCCACTGAAATGCAACTCCCTCTTAACGCAAGCAAGTCGGAGTTCATCAGTATCACCAGACGTCCAGCCACTCGATCATACACCTTGGACGGCCAGTTGCTCCATCCCAACACATCTGTCAGAGACTTAGGAGTTCTCTCACGACATGATTTAAGATCACTAGAAAATACAGAGAAATTGTACCGTGCGGGACTTCGTATGCTCTGGGCATTACGACGCAGTTTCTCCACATGGTCAGAAGAAACCGTCCCTCGTCTATTCACCTCGCTCATTAGACCAATTCTTGAATACGGTGCCCCAGCTTACCATCCGATAACCCAATGGGAAACTGAAAAACTGGAGAAAATACAGCATATCGCAACTAGAATGATACGCAGTCTACGAAAGCTTCCATATGAAAAACGTTGTGAAAAGCTCGGACTCTACACACTATCCTATCGCCGAGTAAGAATTGATCTTATTATGACCCATCGAGTACTACACTTGAATCATTTCCCCATACTACGGCCAATATTTCACCTGCGAGAACCCTGTAACACCCGAGGACATCGTTACAAACTCAGGGTCCCCAGCATGAACAAAGTATCACATCAGCTTTGTATCGAACGAAGAATCGTAAACTTATGGAATACACTACCTGAAGGATTAATAGAGGCCGATTCTGTGAAGTGTTTTAAAACCCGTATCGACGATTATTTTGCAAACCTGTGCTTTTGTGAAACGATGCACATACAGTGCCAAAAGAATACATTGTATGTCCGGAAATAATGACGCTAGTACAAATTTCTAACCGAACACGGATAAACGATTAACGGACCAGACACAACTGCTGATAATTCACAAGTAAATTTTGATTTTTCGTAATTCGATAGAGTTGTACAGAAACCTTTCTACTTGCTCTTAAATACAGTATCAGTATCAGTATATGGTTGGTGGCTTCCGATTCCGGATTTACCTGTCACTGCGGCTTCCTTAGGGCAACCACAGGACGCCTGTGCCTACAGAGGGACTATGGATGGCTTGTGCCGCACCACTCACAACTCCATCCACACCCACCATATTCAGTGTAAACCCGAAGGAATAAGACCGGGATGCATGTGGATGGGAGCCAAGTTTCATCAACGGAGCCGACCCACACTCAACATACACAGCAGCAGCATTCCTGTCTATTTATGTGAGGAATCATGCGTACCAGACGTACACAAGACAGTAGCTGGGTCGTAGTCCCCTCCACACTGTATGGAGTCACTCTGAGCCTAACACGGCCATGAGACCGGGATTCCCGTCTCCCCAGCAACGATTCACAGTCCCCTGGAGCCAGCAGTCGAGCTGGAGGTTGTTAGACAAATAGGCACCTTGTCAACATTCACATCAAGCGCAGCCATACCGGAGATATCAGACAACTAACACCGAAGTTGTGGGAATGCAACCACGCAAAATTGACACCGTATATGCAGCTAAAGAACAGAACTGGACAAATTAAATAAAGTGGAATAACTTTTATCCGGGTTAAAAAGATATGATTTAACTGTATGTCGTTTTAGTCAAACTATGGTGATGAAGCATCATGTAGGCAACATCAACCTCATCCGCATTAAGCTGGTCACAGTTGTGACAAAATTACTGGCCTCGATTATCGTTCGTCGCCTCACTGCGGAACGGGAATCTCGGATTAGGGAAGAGCAGGCCGGTTTCCGCCCAGGACGTGGCTGTATAGACCATATATTCACTTTGCGACAGGTGCTAGAGCATCGCCACGCATACCGCAGACCGACAATATCTGTGTTCCTCGATTTCAAGAGTGCGTTCGATTCAATCGATCGATCGATTCTGTTCGAAATACTTGCGCGGAAAGGTGTTCCCACGAAATATGTGAACATCCTTCGTGCTCTATATTCGAACACTACAGGCCGCGTCAGGGTTTACGGTGTCCTGTCGAATAGCTTTCCGACTACAAGTGGCGTTCGTCAGGGTTGTCCGATTTCCCCATTTTTGTTCAATTTCGTTGTCGATTCTATCATGGAGTGTTCCCTTGCGGAATCTCACGATGTAGGCGTCGAAGTGCTGCCTGGTGAAAGGTTAGTTGGTCTAGATTATGCGGACGATATCATGTTGCTTTTCAACGATGTTGGGACGGCACAATCAACCCTGAATATCCTGTCCAGAGTGGTCCCATTATTTGGTATACACTTCGCACCTTCAAAGTGCAAAGTGTTGCTGCAGGACCACCAGCCACTTGATGACCCCTTGACGCTTGCTAACGAGGAACTCGAGGTGGTTGATCATTTCACTTATCTTGGCAGCTGCATCAGCAAGGATGGGCGCATAGAACCTGACGTCAGCTCACGCATTGCAAAGACCACAGCTGCATTCTTGAACCTGCGGCATTTTTGGCGACAGAAGGGAATTTCTCTCCGTCTGAAAGGCCGTGTATACAAGACCACAGTGAGGACCGTTCTGCTCTATGGTAGTGAGACTTGACCGCTTCGCTCTGAAGATCTGAGGCGCCATCAAGTCTTTGATCATCGTTGTCTGCGAAGCATTGCTGGGGTCGGATGGCACCAGCGTTTCCCCAACGATGATGTGCGTAGGCGAGTACTAGGAAGTGATAATCATGCTAGCTCCCTATAACAACAGATAGCACCGGTCTGGTCTTACGCGGCAGCGACACGGAGAGGTTGCAGTTATCACCTCGTCGCATTCTCACGCTGTGCGACCATCAGTTGCAAGCCGACTTCACATATAGTGGACAGCATCTACAGTACACTGACTGTATTCTTGTACCTTTTATTCTTCTATCCTCCCACCCGGTAACCGCGTTGATGGTATTTGCTTCCCTATTGCAGCATCTCGCTTGATCTATTGTTGATGTTCACGCTTCTGACTAAATTTAAGCCTATAATTTAGTTTCGCCTCTAAACCTACCGACAGTTCGTATTTGTTACTTAATCTCCTACGTGCGATTTTTCATAACTTGACGAATATGGCTGCTAGTCTTATCTCCAATACCAACCCATGCACCTTCGCAGTATTATTATCCATGAGGGTGACTACTTCTCCACTCAGTTTGTGGTAGTTCACACACAAGTGTGGGCACATGCATGAGTGTATGTGATTATGTTGGATTCGAACTGCCATAGGGCAGTTGCCAAGATCGAGGCTGATGAAGCATATGATATGCTATGTAATCTCAGTCGGGTTAAACTCGACTGACTATCTGTGGAACGTGCGCTTGGCGCATGAACCTTCCCGTGTGATCTGCAATGCCTGGCTTCTCTTGATGTGAACTTTCACAAGGTGCCTACCTGTCTAACACCCCCACCTCGTTATATACTGGTTCCAGGAGACTGAAACGTTGCTGGGGTGACGAGGTGCACGGTCTTCGTGACCTTTGTTAGGCGCAAAGTGTGGTTCCATGCACCCAGTGTGAAACGGGCTACGGCCCAGTCACCGTCTTGTGTGATTCCTCACATAAATAGACTGAAATGCTGCTGCTGTGTATATTGTGGAAGTGTGGGTCAGCTCCGTTGATGAAACGTGGCTCCCATCCACATGCATCCCGGTCCTATTCCTTCTGGTTTACACTGGATAATGGGTATGTGCTTAGAGCTGTGGGTGGTGTAGCGCAAGCCACCCATGGTCCCTCTGTAGGCGCAGGCGTCCTGTGGTTGACCACAGTGACAGGCAAATCCGAAACTGGATGCTGCCATTCATATATATATATATATATATATATATATATATATATATATTAATCGTGCGCCGAAATTCTGTACTAGCGCTCCGCTTGTGGACATGGAGTCATCCACACGTGCGTAGGTTCGAACCACTGACACGAGGAGGACGGGTCGGATGCCAGAACCACTGTCACCGGTCAGACACTACTGCGCTCCGCACGATGTTATGAGCATACTGAAGTCGCGTGTCCAGCCGTTACACGAACCCAAATTGTGACTTAGAGATGGTAAACCTGACTATCCTCGGTTTATGAACAACGTGTCTGCATGCCAAGCTGAAGTCATAACTAAGTGAAGCACAGAGCGGTTCAGTTTGTTGGTTGATTTAGCTCGTCAACGTATTCGCAACTTTCTGGCGGAGTAGTTGACGAGACTCCAGTGGTATAACCTTTTTATAGGCATGAATCCATCGAAAATCATTTTTCAAGTCAAATCAAAATAGGCTTTATGAACTCGACTGGGAACATTTCCAGCATTTCACATTGGCACTGCGGATGTAGTGAGGCATAACGTAGGCATGGGACTGCAATAAAACCGGAAAAAGAACAAAACATGTATGTACATAACTCAAGTAAGCGTTCACGTGTGATTCTGTTAAGTTTCTTGGAGTCCACAAGCAAACGGGATAAATACTTTAAAATAGAGTTGTGCTAACATGTGCGAGAAAACAAACCCTAAATCTAGAGCGAGTAGACAGGTAGGAGTGGGATTTCATAAATCAGCGTGAAGGGGATGACGTGGGTAATTTAAGACATTTGCTGTAAAGTTGTCACATCTAATAGAGTGTTAAGTAACGATGAAATCAACCAGAGACTCTCTGGGCAATTCGCAACACTTAGAAATGAGCTTAATGGAACGCACAACCAATGTGCAGTCCTTTTGTAGATCAGAAAAATTAATAGGTGAGCAATATAACTACTGGGGTAAAGCACAAGCAGTCACGAATTTGTAAATCAAAGAGCTGGACATCTGATAATAATTTTCGCACCTTGCGGAACGTTTCTTCAACGTGAGATAACTATACACCATGGTACTTAACAGTGGATGAACTGGGTATGTTGTGGTCACTTACGACCATGGTGCGCGAATTGTTTGCCACAGTCAGACGTTTGTCAGTGCGGAGAAAAGGGGAAGTTAAATCGTGGCATTTAGAAGCGTTGAAAATAAGGGATCGGGCCGATGACCACTGCTGAAGTTCCGATTTGGCGAGCCGTTGATGATTCGGCAGTTGGAGCAATGTTGCCTAAGACTACGTCGTCAGCGTACTTACATCCAATGAAATCGAGGGGAATTGGATGCATTTCGATATATAGAGAAAATAGAGGAGAGAGGCTTGCTCCTTGTAACGTCGCAGTCACCATTAAGGGTGTGGGACTTTTTCCATTTTAACTATGTAAAGTGAGATCGGTTTACGAAGTACTTGCTCATCAGGTTGCACACTGCTAGTTGAACACCATTCGCAGACAGCTGATTAAGCAAGGTTGATCTGTCGGCACTTCCAAAAGCGTTAGTGTGACCAAAGAGGAAAAGCTGCACATTCTTGCATTTCACATCTAATGAAGATACTTTAATGTGAACAAGGTATGCTACGGCATCCAACATGGAACGTTGGAGTCTGTACGCAAACTGAGCTATATCCACGGTCGGAGTGCTTGTTGAGACCCAAGTCACAGGTAGTCGCCTGAAGACTTTCAGCATAACCGATGTACATGTAATCGGACGGAATTTCGTGGATCCCTTTTTCACGAGTGTTATCCTGATAAGTCTCCAAATATCGGGAATAATTCCACCGATTAAAAAGATCCATCATGGGCATGGTGAGGGTATTGGCGCACTCGTTCAAGACAACTGGTAAAAGAGCCTCGGGTCCACTACCCTTTCTTGAGTTCAGAGTTCACAGTTGCCTACAACGTGTTGGAATGTAATTTTTGGACCTGTTCCAGAGAACAAGGGCAGGAAGAATGAAGGGGTGGGGGCTACTTCCTGTGAAGAAGAACAAAACTCACCAATGCATTTCTCGACATCCACAGATTCAATCTGCTTATTTTAGCTTTCACCGCATAGCTGCTTTAAAAGTCCCCATAAGTCTCGACACTTGTGGTTGTACAAAACGGTTTCGATGTTTAAATTATTCAGTTGTGAAACCAGTTTCCCTTGCTCGAGAGAGTGGTTTGACACGAGCAGTCATTTTACACTTACAGGCTCGTTCTTTTTTTCATTCTAAGTTGTTTTAGTGGTGGTGAGGAGAATCTATCGACTCGTACATAGATGGCTTCGACCGGGCAGCAAAGATCGTAGCAAAAGTTAAGATAGTCAGTGAAATGATCACACTGAATAGACAAATTTTCGTTGTTGAAAACTATAAGACTTGTAGAAGTCATTATTTCCTGGAGACTCTCAATATTGCATGCTGAACAATCTCGTCACCTCAAAGTTTTGAAGCGCTTATTAGCCAATGAACCGACATGAGTCTTAGCATAAACGACCGGGCACTTTCATAACACAATGATCGGAATTACCGAGTGGGGCACGTTTTGTGCGGAAAACAGCCAGGCATAGTTTGTGAAGACGAAATCTAGTTGTGCTTCAAGTCTGTTCGGAAAGGCCACTATGTTAGTCACATCACGTGCCTAGATGACTACGGTATCAGTTTTATTGAAGTCCCCAGGGAGGACAGACAGAGTGGGCCAGTTTAGGTAGTAACCCTGAGGATAGATAATCCGCAAAAAGTTTCAGCTCTGTATACATTCCCAATATTAACAGAAATAAAAGCACTCAAAAACTTACCTTCAAACAAATGGCAGCTGATTGTAAGTGTTGAGTAGGTCAAAAAAATACGGCTAACGAGCCACCTCAGCGTCGATGAACGTAGGTGATGACACACCCTCCAGGATTTTGAGGCATTCCGAGGCGACCAGATCTGGTAAGAAGATAACCAGCAAGTTGAATAACATCATCAGCATGTAACCAGCTTTCTTGAAGCATCAAATTGGCTGCATTCGAATATTCAGTTTGGTGTATAGAAGCGGTAAGATCCGTCATTTTCCCAATGGGTAATCTAATATTGCTGTACATGATCAGTGGAATGTGTCTTGTCAACTGAACGACGTCTAAGGCTTAGTCGCCAGCCAGCACGATGTTTCCTCAATTTACAAGAATGCTTCCGCATAACTCTTTTAAAAGTATTTCTGGTTTTGTGAACATATTGAATAATACGCGGATGTTAACAGAATAGGACAGCCTCGCAGTTAGAAGATAGTCAATATAAACAGAACAGCAAATGTGTTATGTGAATTCGATAAACCCGCAGTAGCTACAGTGGAAAGGATTTCTCAATGAGAAAGGCAACGGTCAGTTTGAAGGCCCCACCGCACAGTTATCGTGATAAGAAAACCGAACACGGCATTTGTAGTTTTGTCGGAGAGTGCGCTACCCTGTTGCCCAGGCCGAACTAGGAGTCTGTATTAGGAGACACTATCGCTAGTCTTCGGCTTGATAGCCTACCCGTAAGTCAGTGGATCGAAGTCAGGGAAACGCATCCATTGGGAGCCGTTGACCGATTGTTCAATCGACGCGCCTTTCATTTGATCGATCACCAAACGGCCCTAATCCCCACCATAAAGTCAGCCTCAGGCTGCTAGCGTACAATACTCCACCAGGGTGAAGCAAAGGACGGTATTTTTGCTTAACGATGTCTCAGAAATACCTGTTTAACCATCAAAACTATTTGAGTCTTCCAACGAAACAAAATGGGACATTAAGTGCCTGGATATAAGTCAAATCAAAACAGTCCTCCACGGACTGATTAATAGCAGTGGCTCCTTCCAGATTTAGCTAATTTATTTGACTCAACTAGTTGCACTCAGCACTAAGCTTGTTCTCTGTGTTGCATTTGCACTTGTAGTCTTGATTAGTAAATGTTTTTGTGTTTTCGGTCTGCTTTTGCCTCAGACCACGATTAAAACTGTTTGTCTTTGCGAACTTCGCCATGTCGTTGGATTTTCTCCACGTTGCGAACAGGATTTAGCGATTGTATCGACATGTATCATGGATTCGTGCGTTGTTAATGACCGAGCCGCTTGGTATTGCGGGCGATTAGAGAAACTGCTGTTTCGCATGCTTCACGCCATTATTTTGTAATCACTTCTACTAACTCCCTGGCATACACGTGTTTTCTCTTGTTTACTCTTACGCAGCCTCCGCATCAATTGCTTTGGCTTGAAGGATGTCCTATTTCACCGATCTGACGATCCAAATCTTCCTGATGACCAGGTTTGTATTCCTGTCTTTCATACCTTGATGTAGACTTTGTTTCATGCACCGCCGGCACGTCCCCACTTCCTGCAACCCACTGCACCATTGGGCCCACCAACCCACAACTCTGTTCATCTTGCACACTGCATTGCGCGCTCAACTGTCGATAGCCTTAAAGATGTATCATTCCCTTTCCTATACTTCTGACTTTTCTCTTGATCGCTTTTCGCCTGATTCCGATCTTCCACGGCCATCCGTCATTTTCAGATGTTATCTTCAAGAAGTATCCAGAACAAACGCTATATTTACTAGTTGCACCACTCCTCAATGCTGTATCGATTGGTTCTTTTGTTCTCTTCAGAGCGCATAAAAAGGTATCAGCAGTACTCTGACGCGCTGCATTGACGCTTCGCTACCATCATCAGTCGCATATGGCTTATGGGTACTGCGGGGTCACACTTATCAACACAGATTCGAAGCGGCGAAATCTTTTGTTTGCAAACCAGGTGCTTTATCCATTGGACCACTTGCCAACCCTTCACCGCAAAATTAGAGAAGAGCAGCATCCTATCCGCTTTCTCTCAGTTGACTATCGCTGAACATTTATTCGTGTTCAGTCGTCAACATGATTGCTTAAGTTTTTCACCTCCTTTTTCTTACTCTTATTTTTCTTGGTTTTTCTACCATAGGCCAATGACTTCGTTCAGCTGGGCAAACTTCTAATCGGTGTCGCCTGTGGTACTTCCGAGGCCATCCAGGTTAGTTTTACAAAACAGTTTTTGTTCACTCTTGGAATGATCTTAGATGCGTTGCATTAACGTACTAGCCCACTTTTTTGTATACCCATCTTTGACGCGAAAAATCAACTGGTTATAAGCAGCGGCTTCCATTTCATTTTATCCATTTCCTGAATGTATGTTGCTGGCGGTTGTATCCTAATCAATATGCCAAATTAAAATCCGAGCTCTTAAACCACCTCTTTTGTTTTAACTAACACACTTCATACTATGCGTTTGTTTTCGAATTTGTATTCGTTTCGTTTGTTCTAACCTGCTCACACCGGTTTTGAACGTTTCCTGGCGCTTTTGCTGCCAGGCTTTTCTGAATTATGGATCCCATCTGTTTGTGTCCGTTTTGACGCCTTGGCTCTGTTACCTCTACCGAAACCTCTCTTTGCTTTATTCGTTTCGAATAGTTTTTCACTAAGTTATTACTCGTTTGTGTTATGTATTGCTTACTCAACCTTAAGAGCTTTTCGATCGTCAACAGACCGTTCCGGTTTCTTAACCTAATCGATCACGTGACTCACTGCTGCCATTCCCTGAACTTGCATGACAACTGCATTAACTCGGACGTTGTTTCGATCATCTTAAGTTCACTTTACCCATATTCCGTGTTGTCCTGCATTGCAGATGAGTCAACGGGCGACCTCCTTCAACTTACTCCAGCGTGCTTACCGAGCGGAGCTAGTCACTTTAATTCGTGGGCTTATTTCCGGCCAAATTACGGATGTGAACCAGCTCACGCACTCTACTGCGCCATTTTTCTATGACCAATTGACTGCTGCGTATGACCATTCTGATTTCTTGGAGCGCCAGCTTGTTTTGGTAAGTTTCGCTGTGCTCGCATATAACACCATGTCGGAATTCCGTAATACAGCTGAGTGCTCACAGCTAACATATTCAGTGCCTGCGCACATTATATTTCTCATCTTTGCATCACTGGGCAGCGCTCGTTCCATCTAAATATTCCCTAAATATTCCCGAATATATGCCGATGATTTTTGGACAATTTTCGTTTCTGTAGATGAGGGGTCGGCTTATAAAAAGGCTGTACGGAATTTGAAACTAGTCGCATGCATAATCCACCCAGGAATTCACTGTCTACCACTGCCCTTACCTCACATTAGCACCACCCGCTAGTGATGGAAGGTATTTCAGATGGGGATTTGAAGTACTTATAACTGGACGCGTTACTTTGTGTCGAAAATTCTCGATATTTTGCACATTTGACGTTCGCGACAGATGACAGTAGCGAATCAAAAGACCTTAAACATTATGTTATGCCAGGCGATCCGGTGCCTTAAAAGTACCTCCTTCCACACGTCTGACCTCAAACTTCGTTCTCACCCACTGCCCTACTGTGGTTCCTATGCATGAGGCGCCTCTCTGACCTTACGCCGTATTGTCGGCTGTCTTACCTCTTTCACGTGACTTGACGTCTAATCCATACGTTGTCCGGTACGATGAAGGTCTTTTCCGACGGCCCTACGCCCCATTAACCGCGATTATAACATTGCGGTCACCACAACTGACCAATAGCTGTCCAGGAGTAGCTTCAGCACTTGGTCCGAAGAGATTGCCACTCGCCTCTTCGTCCCAATAATACGACCAATGATAGAGTATGGCTCTCCCGCGTATTGTCCTATCACCCGGGGCGAGGTAGAGAAGATTGAGCGAGTACAGCATGTAGCCACTAGGCTGATTCCCAACTTACTAGGTGTGCCGTACGAAGATCGATGTAAGAAACTAGGGCTGTACACCCTAGCTTATCGTCGAATGTGGGTTGACCTCATCATGACCCACCGGATATTACATCTGGGAGATTACCCCATGTTGAGACCGCTGCTTCATCTGCGCACACCAAGCAGCACACGAGGACACCGGTACAAGCTTGTCGTACCGGATTTGAAGCGGGTCACTCGCCAACTCTGTTTCGAACGCAGAGTGGTGAATGTATGGAACGACCTACCGCAGCACGTACTTGAGGCAAAGTCGGTGTCGGAATTTAAGAAGTTCTTGAACAAACACTTTGCCGACGCAAAATATATTGAGCGCAACAGAACATAACGGGTCTTTGTCTCTGAGTGACATTACATGCAGCTACATAGAGCAAACCCTACTTGCTGCTTCCAATCAGTAATCAATAGCGGACAGGTTTCACTTGAACCCGCTCAAGTGAGAACGGGTAGTGATAACGTCAAAATTGTGGGGAAGCAATTTCGTTTCTCTTTCGCTGATTTTCTAAGGGTCGGCTAATACAGGGACTTACGACTTTGGACAAATTTGATGTTACAAAGTTACACTGTCGGCTTATCTATGGATGGACTTGTATTCGGTACTATACGGTAGTTCATTTTGTTCCCTTCGGAATGTGTTACTGTGCACATACACTAATTGTCATGCAAGTGTGGTACCATTTCTGAAATTATGCTTCACAAACTGACCAGACTTGTGATAATTTTGTGTTTTCTCCTCTGTTGTGAGTCACATTGATTACTCTTATTCGAAAGCGATTCAACCCACTGTTATCTCCCACGCGCTCTCTAGCCTTCACGCTTTGCTTTTGTGCCTTTTGTATATGTTCTACATGCGGATTAGTGAGAGATGTTGTTCACCGTCAATTCTCGCTTACCTTAGGGTATGGAATGCGACCGATTGTTCCGAATGATTTGCAAACTTCAATCCGTCGTGGAACGCGCTGAGTGAGTAAACTCATTTCCATTGTACCCAGTTAGATATTATCACAACTATAGATTCAAGTCGCCACAGTGTTTTTCCGTTTTACATGTCCCAGTTCACTCATCTCCATACGATTCTCACAAATTTACTCATCATACATTATTCTTTATCAAAATGTTTCTCTGAAATGGCTTATTTTCCTCCTATAATGGTATATATTTTGGCTTTTTAGGATAATTTTTCATTGTGTACTACTATCAACCAACTCGTGTTTCCCCATCGTTCATTCACTTTCTTTTATGATTATTTTCCAATTGGGACCGCTTCAGTCGTAATGGCACCAATCCGGACTGGGCTGAGACTGGGGACCGGTATATGCTCAAGTTGTTCCGGGACTTCGTGTTCCACCAGACGGACTCCTTGGGTGCACCATACTTGGATTTGGCGCATGTGATTGCAACGCTAAACAAGGTCAGTTGCATTTTTCAAATTCTGCTTAGCTTAAGCGCTAGTTTTGCTACCCGATCAGGTGTGGAATGATCGATTGAAACGTCCGAATAATTGCCCTAGTTGCACTCATGACAAATCATCCCTTTGTTTGATGCGTTCTCAAATACCGACGAATGGCAGTCGTATCACTAAATGACACTAATCTCAGGGAGGCTGTTTCCGTGCATCAAGTGCAGGATAGAGCCAAACCTTCGTCTATTCGGTTTGTGTCCACAACTTGAGACGTGTTTATAAAGGGGGTCCATTAATATATGAGAGCATGCGTTTTCGTTTCGTTGGACGGATCATCCAAAACTGGCGGTGGTTCTACCCTCCTTTTTCCACAATAAACTGACATTCCGGATTACAGCTGGTGTTCCATTTTAGCCTCAATTCTTCATTCGCCTGTCATTTTGTCTAGTTTATGCTCGATAGGCCGAAGTCCTGCTGTTTTTTTCCTGATTAGCACATTTGACCTCGACTTCCGTTTTGATTTTTAAAATAGACTTCGTTTCCTCCGTTTTTTTGTCACTGATTCCCTTTGCTCATGTTTATCAAGAATATCATGCCTCCTTAACTTGATGTGGGACATCACACGGTTCCCCCTTTAGTTGTTTTTTTATCTTGGTTATTTGGGGCTTATTATATGAAGTAAATACCCGGATCTCGGTTTTGCGTTTAATCCGATTGTCTTACAATACACACTTGCTCAACCTATGCTATCGACGACTCAGAGAAATGAGGGTCGTCGACCCATGTACTGCTGCATCTCTTTCCAACCTTACTATGGGAATCCGCCACGTTTAACTTGATGCCTCGACTCCCTAAATTTGAATCCCTGCTACCACATGTACTTAGGAGTCCTGGCAGTATCCCCCACGTTCCGAAAACGACCGCTTGCGGTTGTATAGCAGGTGGATATTTCCAAAAAGTATTGGTACGTTACTGTTGTTTCTTTTTATTTCACCAATTCAGTTTATTGGCCTCATGGGGTTTGTGAACGTCATTCAGCAAGCGAAAGAATGTCGGTATACGGAAGCATCCAATGTTGGATCGCATATCCGAGCTTTTTCTCTGCACTGTTGGTTACACGATCTGTGTTCCCAACCACCCGGCAGGTGATTTCGCTATAGCGAAAGGTTTGGTCAACAAATGTTGGCCCTTTCAATAAAATATTCATCCAAACACTTCATTTTGTCAGGCTTATTTCCAAAAACAGACTTCTACACTATAGTTGAGTGTTTCTGCATTTGGGTCACGAATTGACATTGCGTTGGGTTCACTTCCTTCTTTGTATCATAGCTGCGGTTTTGGAATACGAAACTGATCATCATATTTCTATTATTACTGTCTCAATCTCGGTTGTCGTACTGAACCATATCAACATGTCTGTTCGACACGGCTATTCAGCTATCCACTTTTACTGCTCCCTAATTCAGTGCTTACTTTCGTTGTGAGTACTAATACACGTTATTTCCCCATCGTTTCTACGCCAGTCGCTCTTCCTTAGTCATAACTTTTGTTATTTTTATTCTCAGCATGAGTCTGTTCATCCGAGTATCAACTCAGTCCTCTTTACTATTGACTAATGCCTTTTCATTGTCTCTCGCTAGGTCGAAGCCGGTTCCGCTGAACGCCTCTGTTTAGTCAGCCGCGATAGCCAGAATGTCATCATCGTGACTTACGCTGATGTGAAGCAATGGTTGGATTCCAGCTTCGATCATCTGGTCGAACGTCATCGACAAAGCCGTTGCGAGCTCCAGTTGGCGCAGCAGCGTGAAGCGCGTAAACAGCAGCAGCAGCAGCAGCAATCGTTCTCAACTGCACAATCTCAAGCGGACACGATCAGCAGTTCTAAAGCGACCACTTCCAGCAGTTTGCTCACCTCTGAAACATCTTAGTGTCTGATAGCTGTCTGGTTTCGTGTGATTCTTTTCCCATCTCCACTGTTGGTACGTTTCTGTTGTGTCCCCAAATCATATTACATGCTTGCTTATCGTCAAACCAAGTCATAGCTCCTTCAATATGCAGAGCAGCCTCATGAGATTTGAGGAAGCATGCATCCCAAACATACACAGAACCGGTGCCGGACAACAGCTCGTTACACACTGGATGGAACCGCTATCTGAGACTGGCCCACCCGATCACATCCAGCAACAACGAACTATTTCCTAGAGCCAGTAGAACCGAAATGGTGGCTTTTGGACAGCCAACACCCGCACCAAGCGCAGCCATACCTGGGAAATCACTTAGCAAACATTCAGGTTGCGACGAAGTAGTTACATAGGCACATGTACAGACCAACAGCAGGACGATAAAACACATGTTTCACATCTGTTCCACTCTTGATGTGGGTTAGCAGATGGAACCAGAAGCAGCGCACTCTCCATGCGTTGACATTTGCTCATTCAACTTAACCATTGTCTCTTTAAAATTGACCCCTCGTGGTCACATTGATGACCTACCAAACTGGCTCGACTGAGGCACGCAAAACTGCATGTGCTATAGCAATAGGTGTTTCATTTCGACGGACAAGGATACATTAGCATATGACGCGTGCATAACCGGAGTTTTTTGTTAACGCAATAGCTTTTTCGCAAACCTGAGCAGTGGCATTTTTGATGTGCTTACGCCATTGGCGGCAATCCAGTGCCATTGCTTCCTAACACCTCAGATCAACGTAGTTCGTGATAAACTCATCAGTTTGCCGACCTTCTTTACTCTGTTTGGTTATTTACAAAGTGTTTCGGTATTCTAGTGGAATCCATGCCGCGGATAGATCCAAGTCAATGATCTCGCATCACTACGTGACTTGAATTGATTAGAATTTCATATACCTAAGGACACTTCTACAACAGACCTTTGTTTTTGATAAATGCCAGTTTGATTTTTACCGTTTTCCGATGCAAGCTTTTGTCCCCTAAGTTTGTAGCCACATGGGATCGGAAGAACTGCACGGTATAAACAGCAGCCACCGTGAATTCCATTGTTCTGACCGGCTTATATGTCGTTCGCGTGGTCGTCTGTCTGTTCTACCCCATATTTTGAGTTGATCGCTGTCAAGGAGTCATCTAGCACACTTAGCCTAATCGATCGTTTGTATACTCACTGAAACATGCTTGTGTTCTGCTGAATTGCAGTCATTCCTCCTTGTGCTCATTGCATTCTATTTGTGTCTCATGTGGTCACATCCGCACATATATTTCTGACAGTGTTTACGCGTCCAATTCGCTGATTCCGCTGAATATTCAGTATACTTCATTTTTCCACGTGTCCGTCCACTTATTCACTTTTGTAGCGTTGTTCGCTGGCACCTTTAGCTAACTGTCTAATTGTATATTTTTCGCTATTTTGCGATGAGTTTCCTATTTACATCTCTCCATTCCCTAACAAAAAGTTTCTTCGCCTTTTGTGAACTCGTTTCTCCCATAGTACCAAGGTCCTTAACTTTTACCGAACGGATCCTGGGTTTTTCGAAGCGCTGCGGCTTGTGGGATGTGGCTCTTCTATGTCTGCGCACTCGGAACGTGTCCCGACATTTTTATGCGCGCCTTTCTCGGCAATATTTCCCCATCCCTATCCTTGTTAACTACTCCCTTGTGTTCGTCATGGATGGGAGCTCAGTCCCGCCGACCAATGGCATCTGCTCACATTTTCGACGAACTGGAATTCAAGATGTTTGTCCGAAAGATACCTTTCCTCGTCTTTCTGGTAATTCTGTTTTTCGACACCCTTATTTGATCCCCATTGCTGACTCGCAATTGTTACTATGTCTCCCCAGGCAATGTACCCTATTTGTTACTCGAGCAAGATTTGAACGTGTCTTTGAACAGACACTCTTCATTCGGAGTATGCTACTGTTCTTCACTAACGTATGCGACCGTATCGTACTTTCTTGCATTTCTGTCTTCGCCCCGTCGCTTTTTTGCCCATTTTTTCTCCTCCCTAATTGCTGCTCTCCGCCCATGTGCTAGCACATTTGGTCTTTCATGTCATGATGGACGCTGGAGAAATTAAACGCTGTATCAACCCAACCCACCCGGTTGTGTGAGCTTGGTTGTCTGTCCTACACGCAGCGCTATTTAAAACCAGTATCCCTCAATTTTGTAAAGTTGTCTGATGTACATCTATGTATTCAATGTAAAACGTAAAAATACATCAAAAGTTTAAACAATTTCTGCTATCCACACGTAGGGGACAAAGATCGATAGCCTTTAGACGAGTATTGGGTTATCTAGGTCATCATCGCTTCATGTCCGAGTTCATCCTTCATCGATGAGCGGCAGTTTCGGGATCGATTGCTGACGGTGATTCCGTTGTTGCGTGTGATCCTACTTGCAACTATGGTCTGTGCTTTAGGAGTACTCCGATATCTCGAGCTGTAGAAACTCATGCAACATTCTATGTTTTGCTCATTCCCTTGGCCGGTTTTATCCCTGTTTACTCTCTTCGGGTGGTACTTGGTCCACCGATCTGTTGATGCCAAGTGAGCACCCTGCTTACTGGGATAACTGCTAGCAGCGTTTTGCTTAGATCACAGTCTGTGTCTAAATTGGTAACGCGTACTACCTACAGTTGTTTCACTTGGGTGTAAACTCCGACCAACTCGATCCCAACCTATACACGCGCAGTATATCCTCTTACGCTAGGCGCTGCAGTTTTCTCCCCAGAAGCGCTTTTCACAAGTGAGTAACTCGGTTTTGTTCTGCTTATGGCCACTTCATAGTGCGGTTAGCGGTATTGCGCGTCGGTACTATAAGTGTATACATGAATCTTGAGGCGAACGCATCTGGTGAATCAATCGTCCATCTCAGCTAGTCTCAAGTGTGAAAACGTTGGATGTATTATTGCAGTATTCGTCTGGTGTTCACTATCTCGAATTCCACTATCCACTGACGTACGTGATCAACCTTGGGAATCACAGCCAATTACCGTCTCAGTTAACTAGAAATCGGTTTCCAAAAGGAAACCTCTTCCATTTCTTAGCGTAGCGTCGGCGATTTATCCGTCATTATGTCCTCTCAAATTAAGTGGATGATCGGTTTCGATAACCACGGTCCTTCGGTGGCTGTTGTTGTCGATGCTTGCTTCGGTTTTCGGTGGCTTCCAAAGTTGTAACTCTGTTTCATATTGCTGCTTCGCTTTTTTATGTTCGAATGATGGGTATTCGATTTCGTACTTCCGATTGGGGAGAAGTATCCGGTCTACTTAAGTGTAGACGGGTTCGTGAGTTCAGGTGATGGGCAATCGCTTTCGTACCCAAGCACGCTCTATTTAGGTGCACGCGGATTCGTTGTCAAGTTCTAGGTATGCTCCTGGGTGAGACGTTTATAATGGCCATGAACCCTACAGTGCCCTGGGCACAGTGGAACAGACTCATTGTCATTATCGGTTGGTTGAGTTTCCACGTTCCGTGTTCTTTCCCCCCAGACATACGACCGGTCCGAAAAGTGCATTTGCTCGCTGGGATCAACATTTGTATATCTACTGGGGATGACATGCCTACACTGCGAATTCTCCAGTCCATCCATTTGCATAATCGAAAACGCGAAGTGCACTACCCTCGTCACTGGACTCAATCTGGCAACCGTAGTTGCAGTAGGGCGCCATTCTTTCATGTCACCCGGAGAATACACATATCACTTCCTAACGTAAAATTGACAAGTCACCTTTTGACATGAAATAGGTGATTCCATTTTTGAAGAGTTGACTGGTCTCCTTAATGTGGTTGACGAAGTTCGGGTTGGTTCTTTACAGGTCAACTTTAGGAGGAGACTCAGATGGAACACTAGGTTTCCCTGACAGGTCTCCCTGCTGCTCCCCCCTACTTCGCACTTTGACAGGAGAGTTTAACCTACGAGACATTACCCAGTATGGAGTAAATTTGCAGAGTTCCTTTGGGATCCGCTGGAAACCGGTCCGAACGGTCTTAGAGCAACTTATGCCCTTTGGCTGTGACCGCAGGCTGTGTAGTTTTCCTGTTGTTGAACGGCTATGATCCGGGCATCGAAGTACGGTGAATCCAGCTGCCCGGCTCACCACCAGAATAACAGCAGATGACAACAGTAAGAAAATAAGATTGAACGCAAATAGTATACAAATAACGGAATCAGGCAGGAACTGCCTGCCCAACACATGAACGCAGCTGACTGTGCCATGTCCCTTAGAGCCTCCTACCACCCTCGAAGACGGCACGCATCAGCCTGACCAAGTCTCTCAGCTGATTTTCCCATGTTTTTATACCGCGTCATCGACTGGCCACCTCGTGGTTTCACCCGACCTGGTGCAGCGACGGCATATAATGTGCCCTGAGGGAGCATGTTACTAGGCCTAAGGTGGGCATGACCTAACCAACGTAAGCGTTTGCGTTTAAGCTAACCTTCCAGTGCGGCAGCGGAATGTTTGTTGCCAAAGAGCAACGGCGGACCTCAGCATTGCTTACTCCTGGGTTCCCATCAGATGTGAGCGATACTCCGTAACCGTCGGTGACCAAACCGACCTATCATTTAATGTCTTCACTGCAAACTAATCCATACAATAACGCCGGCCTTATCGCAGCGTCATGACCCCTACCTGTTACTGACAGGCTGATATCCAGCCCTCTCCATAGATAGTTTAGTCACTGAAATCCCACATAGGCCTTGCTAATACGAGAAGTAACTTCCTCAGTGCTGTGACCACCGGGGGTGACGCAGCTATTATGATAAGTGGACCGACCCGCCACTTCCGGTGACTGTTCCCTGATAGCCAGAACCGGTGCCACATCGATCCAGTACTGCATCAGTACTTTACACTTTGAAGGTGCAAAACACATTCCGAAGCGTGCAGCGCTACGCGATAGTCTGTTCGGCTAACCTCCCACAGTTGCTGCGTCAGACCCAAGGTGAGCTGTCGTCTGCGTACTCGAGGTCGGTCATTTGGCAGAATTTCTGTTCCGGAAGTATGCAAGAGCCGAGTTATTTACGATTAGCATTTTGAAGAGGAAAGGAGATATAGGACAACTCTGGCGTACCCCACTTGTCCTGGGGAACTCAGCAGAGTTTCCCGTAGACCCTTATCAGACTTCAAGAGTCACGGTCGAGTTCGGGAGTTTGCACTGTATCGGCCAAGAGCTATCTGCTTTCATGCGGGTGATAACAAAGTACCACCAATACCAACAGTAGTATATCAGTAATTTAAACGGGTGCTTCATTGCCATACAACTAAAATGAACAAGGGAGTAAGGGGAAGAAGGGAAACCTACCGTAAAGCCCAACTGTCCCTAGCAAGCATTCAAAAATTAAGCGCCTACACGTCGTCACTACTGCCGCTAAGCCAACTTTCGCACACACCCTCGAGTCCTGCGCTATACACTGTTCAGTAAAAACGATCCTCCTCGATAATCGAGCTTATGTAGAAGGCGCCAAGTTAAAGTTATCACTACCCGGTAATTGTCAACACATCATCGCTGAGCCTACGTAGAACCATCCGTCACCGGAAATGTGGTTATCTTTCGAACCACAAACTCCGATAGATCCTCTAAACTGATCGGCTGTGATTCAGCCTGTACCTGAGCAGTTGAGGTCCAGGAGCAGGGGTTTAACTAAACTGCTTTCAAGAGTGCTTCGCTCCGCGAGTTAGACGGCGTTTCGTGTTGTACATTTCTGCATCGGTACTGTCACTGATAGTCTTGTTAACACATCTTTCTGAACGCAGTGATGCGTGTCTACTTGAAGTGTGCGGTAGTTACGCGTTGTCCACCATTCTAGGGACAACGGAAATTAGGGTGTTAGCCAAGTTTTCAAACGCCATAACCGAATAGTTGGAAGCGAAATGTTGAGACATCAGTAATGGTTTACTTATGTTTATCTTTCCAGTGATATATGGTTGATAAGGTAAGTTTTCTGAAGCCGATTGAAACTTGATGCAGTGTGAGGGTGAAGTTAGCTGGGTTAACTGTGCTTGCAACTGGATCAGAACATTGCTAGTTTGTCCAGTGTCAAACAAGCAGCTGGTTGGTGTAATCCCCCACCGGAATCCTCCTTAAAAGTGGTTGGTGTGCCAGCTCATAAGAGGAGTTGTCTCATTGGCTGCGATTTAATGGATAAAAGTGCATTACGGCTTTTTGAAGTTCCGCCAACCCTTCTCACTTCTGGTGCTATCGTGACCTCATCCGCAATTCTACTTTACGAGCACCTCTACTGTGGTCAAGTGACGTGGACCTTTCGTGTAACGATGTTCACAGATTTTTTAACGCTCGCTGCCCACGGAACACCGCTGAAGTGCGATGGTAAAACTACGTTAACAATAGTTTTGTTTGGTAAATTTTCACGTTAACTAGACCCGGCGGAATGATGAGCTGAACAGAACCACTGAGCGAGCAACAGTGAATTGGGCAATAGTTCTGTGTTCATACTCAATTATTGTTTCACTCTACCTAACTTGCCTTTACCGACACTGACTGGAAGTGATAGCATGGTAGTCAAATGAAGATTTCGACACAAACAGGGTGACACAAGGTTCAATGGTAGTCGCAGCATGGAGCACTTAACGTCAGGGCTTGTGATCCGGGGATGTTGACAACATACCAAACCGGTTCACTTGAGGCACACACGACAGTATGTGCTAAAGCACCAGGTGCATGAGAGTTCAATAGTCTATGATGGGATAAAAAGCATAACTTTACAAGACCCACAAGATGGATATGCAAGGGAAAATTCAAATCAAAATGTTCCAACGCGGTACGTGAAGTATCAGTGGTTAAACCATTGCACTTTATTAAACTATTGTGTAGCGTTTATCACTAAGATGAAAGTCTAAGTCTTTCGAATGTTGTCATGTCTGGTGTGTTCACAACATATCTTGGCAGTGCATTCCAGTGAGAACAGATTCTAAGTAATACTTTCTACAATTCAGACGGGTGTGTTGCGCCATTAGTTTCAGGTGGTTGCCTCGGCTTTGTTTGTAAGGGGCTAGGGTCAACGGTGATGTACATGGATGCTCGCTTTCAGTTAATATCCGGTATGTGAGAGTAAGATTTCCGCGAAGCCGTCGGTATTCTAACGAGAACACACCGAATACACGAAGACGCAGTTCGTAACTTAGACCGTATAGTCCACGCGTTGTCTTTGTGGCTCTTCTTTGGGGTTGTTCCAATAAGCGAATGTCTCGTTTTAACCATGGGCACCA